GTAAAAATATGATTCTTTTTGCCCCCTAAGGAGTAACTGTTTGGCCCAATGCTTGTATTCCCTGGATAGGCCATAGAATATGGTCTAATGACTTCACAGGGCTTCATGCCATTTCATGATCACAAACTAAATAACAGCATTACACTATAGTCATTGCCTGGCACTAATGTTTGCCAACATAAAATTAGTTTGAAAGCATTCTACGGGGGCCACTGAGATGGCTCAGTGGCAAAGACACTTCCCCCATGATCTACCACCTGAGTTCTATCCTTGTGATCTGCATAAGTAGAAGGAAAGGACGAACACCTGAAAGTTGGCTTCTGACTGTCACATTAGCACTGTGGTATGCACATTCACACACACACACACACACACACACTCTTACACAAACACTTAGAACACGTTATGAATCTTTCAGTTTCTCAAAAATTCATACAAAGAAATATATAGTGAGAAGTTGAAAGACTGGAAATGTGCTGAGTGCAGATTTTGACTTTGTATGTTACTGAGTAAATTAAAAAGTTGAAATTTTATTCTAATTCATACAGCTCTTTTACCAGTACCAACAGCCAGTACCAAACCAAAAAAAAAAAAAAATGTGTTTTTCATCTCTGGTTAGATTCTGATATCCAGCAAAACCATAAATGTTTGAGTTTGGAAGTTTAAAATGCTAACAGCAGCACCCCATGATATCCAAGTCCCCAATGCCAACCTATAAGAAAGCTCTGTAGGCTTCAGTGCATAAGTCTACAAAGACATGTATTCAAACTAAATTCACAACTAATGTCAAAACACCCTGAGAAAATGAACTCTGGTGGCAAAAAACATTAGCAAAGTCTCTTCTCTTGGCTCTGTAAAGTACATGTCTTGGCATTTGCACTTCAGTGAATTCTCTGGAGTCAGATGCTCTAGTGTTGCCCTCCATTCAGCCCATTCTCTGTTTTCACTGATGTTTGTAGTATGTCTGTAGTACTAGTACATAGAACACTGGATGTAAAGCAGTCTAAGGGATCTGAAGTACTGTATTGCATTGAATCAATACAACCAATTGATGACACTGGCCTTATAAAATATGTGGTTCTGTCTTTCACAAGTAGTACATGTTACAGTCAACCATTTTTGTAGTAGTTTATCCTACTGACATTCATTCTGATATTGGAATCTTATTCAATTTTAAAAAATAAATGCTAGTAGTTGCAGATTTTAATATTATTATTGAATGTAATATGAAAAAATATAATATGGATTCTTAGCCCTGTAAAAGAAATATGAATTGTTAACCCCATAAAAGAATGTTTTCAAATCCTGCCTTTCCAAATAATAACCAATGTGTTGATATTTCTAATATCTCTTTATCATAAATTGGTCCTAAATTTCCTTCAAAAATATACTTTAAGACATTTTAATACCTACACATATTAGAGCATTATATTGTAACTCTATTTACAATATCCTTAAACTTAGATTAACTAGGTTAAGCAGTCCTTATAGTATATGATACATAGTACCTTTTCTACTTCTGAGAATTGTTGAAAACCCCAGCCTTACAACAATACCTGTTTTAATTGCTTTTTCCCAACTCTATTATACTAACTAACTGTAGCATACACTACAGTACGCTACATGGCCTAGTGTCACAATGCCTCACACATAATAGAAATCTAGAATTATTGTATGAACAAATGATTATGTGATGGCCAGTTAGTTACCTTTTGTTCTTTTAAGTCCAGACTTAAATGGTTTATTTTGAGCTGACATTGGGTTTTAAATAATAACATTGAAAGTGCTTGCCAACTCCGGTATATCCTTTCTCCAAGACAAGACCTTGCCTGTTAACACAGTTGCTCTAATGAATTACAGTCATGCAAACACGAAGTTAAATAATAGGAAATGCTATCAGTATTTGCTATATGATTTTATCTTTACTTAGGAATTTTTGTGCATAAAAAGCTGGAAAATAATATATTATAGAAGAAAAATTCAACTAATTAACCTATATGACACTGATTCTAAAATATGAAAGGCACATCTTCTGTTTATGAGGTTCTCTGTGCTTGTTTTGTATAGGTAAATCAGTCACTTTTTAGATTCTTTGTTATTGTTTGCTTCCAATTTTTTTTCTGGTGGATTATATTGAATTCTATTAAATTAACCTTTCCCTGAAGATGATTAATGTATAAGCTACATTTATTTTATTTCACATAATTAGTCTAGCTGCAAATTAAAACTTGAGATACATTGATATGAACTTCTGTATCTGAAAGGATAATAATCCCTTATTTCAAATCTAGAAGCCACTAGTAATTCACTCTGTCACATCATCTATACAATTCATATCTTAATTTCTCAGCATGCTGATATGCAGCACAGGGTTGAAAGCATTGTTAAATGTAGATAAATATTGTCTATCTGGCTTTCTTTATCCACTCTCTGTTATCTCGACAAAGCTATTGTATTAGCATAGCAAAAGCTGTACCTTGCAATTTCACTTGGACTATTATGCAGTCCTTTCCTTTGAGTGTTCCAAAATCAATAGCATATTATGTTTGAAAGTATTGTGTCTAAGATAGAAGTCAGCTGTATACCAAAATTTGCCCAGGGTAACTGTTCTGCCTTACATCCCTCTAATTGGAGTACTTCCTATTGTCCTTACACATAGCTCACTTGATATACCTAGTACACGTTGATGGGCCTTCATTCATAAGCCATCTACTAACTCTTTTCACTCTACTAGAGTTATATAAAGATACATCTTTTAGTAAAAGCAAGCAGGAATTTAAAGTTTAGTTTTAAATTTTGCCTCCTTAAAGGTAAGTACTTTTTTTCCAACTTCAGGTTGTATTTCAGGAAATGAATATTAAATTTTTCAGTTTGCTTTGCTTTTTTTATTTTGACTTGAAGGATATCTCACTTTGCTTCTTTTTTTCTCTGTATATATTCAGAAATGTTCTGGCTATACTTGCTCAGTTTTTTAAATACTCTTGACATGGAGCTCAGGCTGGCCTAGCTCTCCCTGTACCACTCTCTAAGGGCTGGGATTATATACATATGACAACATATGTATTAATATGTATTAATATGTATTATTTTAAAGTAGATCATTGAAAATAATTTTAACTTCTAGCAACAACTACTTAGGTTTTCCAAATGTTTTTATATTTAATTTAGTATTCATTTTAGGGTACTAATTATGTTTTAATGTATTTATAAGCATAATGGTCCTTTGTTTGCATTTATTTATCTCTAATGAACTTATTTGGTATAAGTATAGTGGCTTTTGAATTCTCTTTCCTCTTATGTTTATCCAAAAATGCTATGTTAGGCTTTCTTCCTTTTTTAAAAAATTCAAATATTTTTGTTTCCAAAAACCTCAGGAAGCTTATTCTAAATTATTAATGGAAATGTGGGCATATTTCACTAAATTATTAGTGAAAATGTGAACATAACATGAGGCTGTTCTAACAGAGACTGAAGGCAAACTTCGAGTTTCTGTAAAAGCAAGAGGATATGAGTCCAAATCTCCAACACCTATGAAAAGGCCAAGTGTGGCTGTGCCTCCTAAGATCCCAACTCTGGGTGTCAGAGACAAATGGATCCCAGGGGCTCATCCCGGCCAGCCTAAAATGAATAGATTCAGAGAGACTTTGTCTCATTTGTAAGATGGTAAGTGATAGAGGAAGTCACCCAACAACCTTCTCTGGCTTCTGTATCCATGTACATTGGCACACATTCTCCTACATGTGTGCATGCACACAGAGAATATGGGTTAATTATTCCTTCCTCTATGCTTTGCCTTCCTCTCTGAGTCTTGCATTCCACCTCCTAAGCATCTCTGTTCTGTAGTGCTCTTGTCCTTACTTAGAGCTGTTCCCATATTGTGTTTTGTCATTTAGATTTCTGGGATCCCCAGATGAAATTCTCCAGACACAAGCATGTGTTTTAGCAGGGAATCAGTGTCCTTTTGTATCATCTTTATCTGTTTTCTCTAATTAGATGGCCAATCTGTGTGAACACTTTCAATGTCCAACCTGCCTTCAGTATTTCAGGACCTATATTAGGGCCATACTTAAGCATCTCGTTTCTAGGATCCCCTTCTTAGCAACTTTGCCCATCCCAATGCTTTATGGTTCTTAGTCTTACCATATTCAGAAGGAGAACTGTTTCCCCTCTTTCCTTCTACTGTGATTCATCACCTAAACTCCAGAGAAAAGGATGAGTGTTTCCAGTTCTTACATATCTTTTTAAAAATGTTGGAGTAACTATAAAAGAAAGCTCAGAAGCTGGACATGGTCATATATGCTTGTCTTCCCAGCACTTGGCCAAAGGGTAGGGATGAGGTGGGAATAGAAGCAGAAGGATCCTAAGAACAAAGCCAACCTTGGCTACATATTACTTATGTTTGAGACTTTCTGAGCTATATGGGATACTGTCTAAATAAGTAAATGACTACCTGTGTTAACTGGTACCCGGCTATCCTTTTAAGAGTCAGTTTGTTCAATTGGCATGTTAATGTAATGATAGACAAAACTAGAAAGCTTGCCCTCAGTGGCCTCAATTCTGAATTGGCTATTTATTCTGATGTGCTATATCTTAGATTTAAGCACTCAAGAAAACTCCCCCACTTTGACTTACCGTATTACGTAGTTCCACTACAGGATTTAAAATATCTCCTTAGGATAGTTGTGTTTCCTGTATATCACATGTGACATTCCTGCATGTTTTATAATGCAGTATAATTAAAATATCAATAATTGCCTTTTTAGCACATTAGCTATAATGTTAGAGTGTTATATTCTTAAGAAGAAAGTCCACTTAAGCTAAATTATATTTTCATTGAGACATTATTTAGTCAAAAGTCACTCCAGACCACTTGGTCCTTTATCAAACCGTCTGTTTCCCTCAGCAGTGAGTGATTTGTCCTTTATAGTCCCCTTGATGCCATGTCTGCAACAATGTGGTTGCAAAATCTTGTTATCCTTGCTCTTACATGTAATTTTAAC